TCGAGAATGAAAGCAATATGTAGCCCGCCAACATAAAAATAAAGCAAATATAACACCTGGGCTGAAAAGTCCCTGACCTAAGAAAGAAAACGCGGTTTTTCGTTCAAAATTATCAATAACCTCTTCTTACTGGTGATTATTTTTTTTTTAGATCTACGAACAGAAAAAAGTCGCTGGAGGCCAGACCTAGAGAATACGATGGATGCGGAAGCAATTGAAAGACCAATTCATGCAATTTTGCCATTGTTATGATTGGCTTGTGACACGGTGCGTTGTCTTAATGATACAAAATTTTTTCCTTTGCTATATGCGGTCATTTCTTGCAATTCCGGCCTTCAAACGCTCCAATAACACTATATAATATTCACTGTTGATGGTATTTTCCTTCTCAAGATAGTCGATGAATATTACACCACGAACATTCCAAAATACCGAGGCCATAACCTTTCCAGCAGATTGTTGTGCTTACGGGTGCTTTGGACGAGGTTCACCAGTTGCTCTCCACTCAGATGGCGATCGTTTTGATTCCGGAGTGTAGAAATGGATCCATGTTTCATCTATTGTCACATATCGACGCAAAAATGTTGGTTTGTTATGTTCAAACATGGCCAAATACTACTCAGAATCATTAAAACGTTCTTGTTTTTGGTCAACAGTGAGTTCGCGCGGCACCCTCTTTGAACATAGCTTTCTTATTTTGTAGATTTTGTATATTTTCCAATATTACCGCCTCATTTAGACTTCCACTGCGTTCTGCATCATCGGTATCTCTTCGACCACGTTTGAAGTCAGCAAACGAACGTTTAATTGATGTTTCTGATGAAGCGGAATCCCTATAACACTATTCAAACCATTGCTTCGTTTGAACGGTATTTTTCCCCATCAAGAAGCAGTGTAAAATTAAAATACGAAATTATTTTCGATCCATTCTTTTGAAAATAACAATTGTAGTGTCACTCTTGGCACAATAACTCACAAACTTATGAGTGGAATATCATGAAATTACAATAGCTTTCTTTTAAAGATTAGCATCAACTGAAAAAACGGTGAATGCAGTAAAACTAGCGCCATAATATGTTTCTTGTGTATGTACTTATATATTTGTGTATATGTATTCGGACGATTACAAAATACTGCAAGACCTCACATCTTCTTTCAACTTGCGCGCCATTGTAAAACGGCCGACCAGAGTTACTCCTCATTCATCTAAAATTATCGACCAAATTCTTACTAGCATTAATGATTTACAAGTTCGTGTGATTGACAACTTTATCTCAGATTACAGAACGGTATTATTGGATATACATCTAAATAGGAAACCTTGTGCTGTAAACTCAAGAATGAAACGAGTTTTCTCGGCACAGGCAGTAGAGAGTTTCTGTGACATGCTACGAAACGAAAGCTGGGCAGAAATTGTCAAGTAATTAGTTGAAAAACCTGCATTTGTTACATAAAATCCATCCCGGTGCCTTTGACGATGTTCATAGAAAGGCTAAGAAAAAACACATTGAATTAATTAAATGTACTAAAAAAAACATTATCAGCATAAATGCTTCTGATCCTCATAAAGCGGCTTGGAATGTTGTTAATGAAATTTCCAACAAAAAGAAGAAAAACGAAAGTGTTCAAATAATGCATAATTGTATCATACACGATAATCCAAAGATCGTTGCGAATTTATTTAATAATTTCCTAGTCAGCTCACCAAGACAATTAGTAAGCGATTTACAATTCGATGAGAAGGCCGATTATCGCATTATGAATAAGAATCAAAATTAATTTTTTCTCAAACCTTTCATACCGGGGGGAACTTCTCTGCCTCTTAAGCAATAAACTTAAGAATAAATATTTATCTGGATATGACGAAGTCCCATTAATTCTACTCAAGAAATGCCTTCCTGCAATTTAGAACCATTCACATTTTTAGTGAACCTATCATTTCTTACTGGGTCATTTCCGAAGTCTCTCAAAATTGAAAGGGGATTTTCCATTCATAAGAAAATGGACAGATATAAATTAGAAAATTATAGACTAATCACCATCACATAGGGTTTTTCAAAATTTTTTGAACACGCATATCTTGATAGACTTTTTGATTTTTTAAATAGGTTCAAACTCTTGACAGATCATCAAGACGGTTTTCGAGTTAATAGATCTACCAATACTGCAGTAATTTCTTTTTTCGATACACTGTTTGAATATTTGGAGGCAGGCGACTGTCCTGTTGGGATTTTTTGTGATCTCAGCAGGGCATTCGACTGCGTCAATTATAATGCTTTGTTGTCAAAGTTACACTCATACGGCATTCGTGGCGTAGCATATTCCTGCATTCCATCATTTTTAGAAAATAGGCAACAATATGTTACAATTAGTAACCACAGTACGAGTACTTATGATAAATGTAATTCAAGTTTGTTAAATATTTCAATGGGTGTTCCGCAAGGATCGGTATTAGGGCCTATATTGTTCCTTGTATATACAAATGATTTGGAATCCCACATTAGGAACACTTCTTTAACAATGTATGCCGACGATACGTCTTTAATATTATCTGACATGGATGAAAACTCACTTTTAGACAAATGTAAATATACTTTGCAATCTGTTATGAACTGGTGCAGAGCTAATTCTCTCTATCTCAATGCTAACAAAACACAATTAGTTAGATTTCACAATCGACAAAAACATCGCGTGCCTATTCAATTTCAAATTAAGAACATGTCACTTCTGGGAAAAGAAGAGACAAATTTTTTGGGAACTACCATTGATGCATGTTTGACATGGAAACAACACTGTTTGAATTTAACGAGTAAAATCAATTCATTAGATTATCTCTTTAGATATCTTGACAGATCAGCAACTTTTGGCACTATACCATGTTCAAGTATCTTCCAGACTGAGACATGGCATATGTATGTGGGTAACTCGAATTCGATATCAAATGTATTCGTTGCGCAGAAGTATATTTTGAGAATAATGGCCAAAGCCTCAAAAAGGGCCTCTTGCAGAAGTTTATTTAGACAATTTAACATTTTAACTCTTGTCAGCATGTATGTATTCGAATTGTCAATTTTTGTCTTTAAAAACAAACATAAATTCATCACCAATGAAATCATACATAGTAGGAATACTCGTCAAAAATATAACTTCCACTTCCATTAATAAATTCAGTGAAAGAAAATCTTCCGTTTATTATATAAAACAAATATCTGCCTCTGGATGGACTAAAAAAATATTGGTATTTTCTCCTTTATTTGATGAAGTTTCATATTTTATATACTTTAATTAAAAAGATGAATTCCAAATAATGTTATTATAATAAATTGATGGATGTAGCCGTTACTACGTGGTAGGAAATCATAATGAAAAAAAGGGAAATAATTAATGTTATTATAAGTTATAACTCTATTTTTGTATACTTCAAATTGAAATTATTAGTTCATTATCAAAATGAAGATGAAAGTTTTTAGTTTTTTGGCAAAACAGATCTAATACATAGATTTATTCGTTTTAGATATTTTTTCATTCATTCTGGTGATACGATTATATATCGATACAACAGATATAATTGAGTATAAATAATTTGCATTCGACACACTGCCACCAAGACAAAAATGGCCACAGGATGCTACCCTGTGATACATCCGCGAAAGTTGCCAGGAAAAATAAACAAAGCTAATCGTTATCAAGTGAAATCCTTCAAACCCGTGAGATAGATTTTCATTCAACCTGGTGAATTATTTCAATTTATTTAAGTTCATTGAGCAATCTATGGTTGAATCGTCAACAAAACAATCTTGGTCGAATTAAACAATTAAACTTTATTCTGAACGTTGATACTTAAAATTGGAACCTCTAGCTTAAAATGAATCTCATGAAAATACATTTCCTGTACAAAACTCTCACAATATTTTTTTTCGATGGTCAAAAACAAAGTGTCCGCGGAAAACATTGCAGCGTTCTAAGGCTTATTGTCTTGTTCTTTCTTTTCATGACGACCATTCCAACAATCTTTTTTTCTGTAGGAACTACAGTTTGTACAAATCCTTTGTAGGATGTTTGTCATGATTTACTGAAAAGGATTTTGTGAGTATAATCCAGTTTGGGATTCATGAACAATGCGACCTGAGAATTGAGATATGAAAAAAAACTTGACAAAATATTCAATATACTGAAACAGAAATATTCTGATGGATTAGAAGAAGAATTGAACAATAAGTATGAATGAATTATTAGAATGGTAATTTGTAAAGAAAACAAACCGAAGTTACCTGAAATGGAAATTGGATAAAAAATGATGGTGAAAATTGAAAGGGAAATGATGTCAAACCAAATTAATTCAGATGGTTTCAGTTGTGGATACTAACAATCGAAATATCGTGAAGTAGATCGATTTCAAATATTTTTTCTTTTATCCCTGTTTTCTTTTTTCATCACTTTCATTATCTATAGGTATATTATTTACATTCGATTAATTGTTCTTATACATTTACGTTCCAAACTCAGTGTTTATTTCTCATTTGATATATTTCACTGGTTTCTTTTTTTTCCCAGTTCTCAAATTTGTCAATCCTTTCAAGACAATGACACTCAGTATTGAAATACTATAAAACTACAGAATCAACAGATTCAGAACCAACACTTAACATAAAATATCATTCCAGTGAACACTTAAGGGCTGAAACTAAAAGCATTCTTTTGTCGATTTAGTGTAACTGATAAAGAACGATAAGGGTTGAACACGGAACAAACAGCTCAAATAGTCAAAGGTTTTTTCCAGATATTGACTCCATAACGAATAGGTAGGTACAAAGGTAAAGATGAATACACCGAAGCAGATGAAAGAAATGTGCATGCTCAATCGCTGTTTGGTATATTACCTAATAGTTATCATTATTTCAAAGATCAAGATAAAGGGAAAACAAAACTTGATGTTTTATGTATGTGCATATATATAAAATATGCATGGCGCCGCTGGAAATCAATTTCTCTCGTCTCACCTCATTTCAGGTAGAGCTAGTCCTCCACGCGAAATAACGTTGTAAACACTGATTTTCAATAAGCACTACTTGTTCGTTGGTATTACAGTTTTGAAAATGTTTCGGAATTATTGCGAACCACTATCGATACATGTAGCGCGTGCAAAAAGGTCACGAATCATATTTACAATATCCACCCTTTGTCACGGACCTATTCGAACTGTCAAACGCGCCTGCTCCTAGAGTTTCCCCCCTTCTTGACTACCGCTACCCTACTATTGCATTATGGATATTTTGTGTATATGATCAATTAATTCAGTGAAAGGAGGTGGGCAAGAAGGAAATTTTAAAGATTTTTGGGCTCGGTAAAAGGCAATAAAGGGAATTCACATGCAGGAATGTCGGGAAAATCCGATCTCACCTAACAAAGGGATTATTTAACCACGAAGTAGGTGTTCGACGCAGATGAGAGAATGATTTTTTCATCGTTCTATTGTTGGGTTGATTTCCCAGTGGAAATATTTGGAGTTAATGGAATACTTTTCAACTGACTCTCTCAGGAACATAGTATGTTAATATTCAAGAACATTTGGATATATTCTATTGTAGAAGAATAGAATTTCTAATATGTGCATCAGGAAGACACAATGTGGATCCTTGTGCCAATGACAATTATAGAGAAAAACTTATGGACCCAAAAACAAATCAAAACACAAAACACATGAACAACGAACTTGGTAATTTAAAAAAACACGAAACTACGAACCAATTTTTCCGAAAATACATGAAAAAATTTCAAACTTTGTTTGTCATCAACTGATGTATTGTCTAATTTAGAATTCAATAAGCAAATCTCACATCTCACAAAGAACGAGCGATAACAATGCCATCTGAGATGATGATGAAACGTCGACAGGGTATTCTTCTCAATAATCAATTTTTTTTTCGGCTGCATTGAAGGTTTTATAAAATAATAGACTCATTGTACAGAAATATCGAGATAATTCTCCAGTAACTATATTTCCTACTTTTTGTATACAGGTATTTTACTCAATCAACAACTATCTCCTAGGATATATCAAAATACCTAATATTATATACAGGGTGTTTCAAATTCGACCCTCACCATTGAGATCTCAGAAACTATGAGAGATACGAAGATGGTTAAATTGGGGCAAAGTTGCGCATTCGAAAATTAGTTGCACTTCCACATTGCCACTTTTTCCCTGCTACATAATGGTGTTTTCAGATTTGCTATCCGACGTTTCGTCTTCCGGACACCATCAAACAGGAAAATCAGGTCTTCTTATCAGGCAATTACAAAATTCTAATCGCCTTTCGGGATTTTGTAACATTTTAAACCGCTTTTGTTGATATGTCTCCAAGCACTTGTATGACAAATATTCATTTCGGAGTAAATTTGACGTGTAAATTTCCCTGGGTTCATGTTCATCTGCAAATTATTAATTTTTATTGAAAGGGGCACAATATCTAACTCACCTCATACATACCTCATTTATCAAAGTTTCTTTAGTTTCCTGGTTTATTCTGTCTCTATTTTTTCTTCGGCTTTTCAAATGAACCAAACTCGGTGAGATTTTGATCCGAAAACTTGAACATAGTTCGATGTGGTTGTCGTCTTTTGGGACACAAGTTTAAATACATTTCCAATGTTCTAACGCTGTTTCTATCGTATTTTTAATAAATTAATTTGTATGATATCTCTTTTTTCTTCATTGGTGAAAGCCATTTTTCGCCAAAAATTCAATGACTTGTGCTTCATGCTTTCGACTGTACCAGACGTTCATATTTTTTATCCTCCATAACATTGCCCCATTGCCCCTCCCCGTCGCCAGTCATAAGCTGGCGACGCTCTTGGACTCGTACAATAACAAAATGTCATTGAGTGTAACAAATTGAAAGTCAAATTTAGAAACATCAAAGTCAAAGCCTATTATGATAAGAATTAATTTTTTTCAATATCTCCAATTTTTCGAAAAATAATGATAACTTATGATACATCATTGAGAAAGTGAAATCTGGTACTATTCAAAACAGAAAGAATACAGTGTAGCGCTCATAAGAAAAAATAAAGTTGATGATGGCGGCCGCAAGACGAAACGTCGGATAGCAAATATGAAAACGCCATTATGTAGCAGGAAAAAAGTGGCAATGTCGAAGTGCAATTTATTTTCAAATCCTTCGAAAAATAAAGCCAGAAAAAAATAACCATTTTCCGAAATTTCTGGTTTTTCCGGATATCTCCGGATATACTTGAAATTTCAGAACTTTCTCAACGGCATATTGTTAGTCAGATAAATGCGCAACTTTCCCCAATTTAACAATCTTCGTATCTCTCATAGTTTCCGAGATCCCAATGGTGAGGATCGAATTTGAAACACCCTGTATAGGGGATTTGATCAATGTCACCAGATGGTCATTTCGCTACAGATCTTCTCATCTCAAGAAATCATCACTCCTGTCATGAAATTGTCAAATGTTCGATATATGGGTTGTTTTAATCATTGAATCAACTGAATTGAAATAAACGTAGGCTTAAACTTCGCTAATATATTTGACGCCTGTAACTTCAAGAGGTCCTTTTGTCACAAATTCTTTTCCGATACAATGATTCCTTGTCAGAATCCAATCCCCGACTCTCAATGCTGGTGGTCTCAATTATCTTCCTTCATTAGCTTGTTCTTGATCTCATATTCTGTATTTCAGTTGTTCTTCGAAATTTCGTTGTTACATTCACTTCTATTCCTGAATCTAATTTCCTGTAAGCTTGCAGTAAGCTGTAAGCTAGATATTCATTATGCGAATAATTTTGATGACGAATTGGAGTTTCTAAATTATTTTTCCAATCTCCTCTGTAATTCGTATAACATTTCATAAATATTATGTAGAGAGGGAGGGTCAGTGTAGGCCCACAGCACTTAGGCCACATGTGATCCATTGTGCATCTTCCCGTGGAGTTGTCCTCCTAAGTCATCATCCATCCTGTCCTTTCCAGGAAGGTGGACAGGTCACTAGGAGACATCTGCTTTATATCGGCAGGTATAGGCCAAGACTCGCCGAACACACAACTCTCTTTTCGACGATAACTCTGGACACTCGCAAAGGACATGCCTGACTGTTTCATCTTCCTGTTTACACATCCTGCATAGAGGTGTGTATACTAGCCCTATATTATGGAGGTGTTTCCTTAGTTGACAATGGCCAGTCATTGGTCATCGCCAGATTATACTTCGACGCCAGCTTCCCAGGGTCGTCCAGGGTGATCCTGGCAAGATTGCATCCTTTGATTCCATCCCATCTCTTTAGAGATTGAGTATGAGTGTAACGTTTTGCTAGTTCCGCAATTGTCGAAGTCATCAGGCCGTAGGTGTCACTGGGTCCTAAAATTCTTAGTCCAGCCGCTTCCTTGGCTGAAGAGTCGGCAATGCGATTACCTTTACTCCTGTCGTGCCCTTTAACCCACCTCAGGATAATGTTATTATGTCCTGAAGCTTTGGCTGAATTTTTGTGGCACTCTAGTACTAGCCCTGAGATAACACGTTATCTGTTCAAGGCTAATAGGGCTTTTTGCCAGAAATTCCTATTCTGGTTATTTCTTTCGTGGCGATTAAGATACCAGCCAGTTCTGTTTGAACAACGTTGGTATTTTTTCCCATTCCCCGCATAATCCTTGGGCTCAGTGATCTGGAGTACACTCCACATCCTGAACCTTCTTTGGTTTTTGAGCCGTCTGAATATATGTGTATTGCATTCGTAGCATCTGACTCTGTGTACTGTTTTATTTGTATTTTGTAGGGTTTACTACACACAAACTTGGGTTCAATTGCATCACTGGTTGCCTGCAGCAGAGGTTGCGCAGTAAGCGCTTCTCGTCATAGGCTTAGCCTCAATTGACGCATTCCTACTTCGAAGTTTACACCAGCCGTGCGCAATCGTAACATGTATTTGATATACTTTTTGGATGACCGTTGCTTGTAGAACTTTCGGTTCTCATGCAATGGCTCCATACGTTAACATAGGTCTTATTATTGCAATGTAGATCCAGGTGACCACACGGGGTGAAAGACCCATGCGAGTCCCACTGTCCTCTGACATTGCTCATTGGTGTTTCAGTGGTAGAATGCTCGCCTGCCATTCATGGAATATTCCAGAGGTGAAGAATGAGCCGTGATCTGTACCAATATTTTTCACTTTATCTTTGAAAGGAAGACTCATTAAATGACTCTTCAAAGCTTGACCACTTTGCGTCAGAGACTTATGATTGATTTTGTTGTTCTATTGATATCGGTATTTCAATTTCAACTTTTCACCTTTCTTTTTTTGTCTTAGAAAGTCTCTTTTCAACTACAAATCTTGGTTTTGAAAATTTCGCCTACCAACTGTGGCGCAAAGATGTCAGTACGGAAAATCATATAAGATGTTCATATCGTATCAGTAGCCGAAGCCGTTAATAAAAAAACAAAATTTCCATTACAATAACAACAGATTGATACCATACCCATAAAGAAAGCATTCGTGATCCACTATACTGACGTTTCGACCCGCTACAGGTCTCATCAGTGGTGCTAGAGTGAACCACGAATGCATTGCTAGACTTAACTGTGCTTTAAGAACAAACCTGAATAAGTAGTGGCGATGACATCTCCACTTAGAAGACGATTGGATCGACAGAAGGCTCAATATGTATCGAGGGAGGGGCTTCCCACTGGCCATGACTCTGTCCGGCAGCTCTATTTATGTTGATTCAGGTGGTTTGGTGGGCTAATAAACCCATTGGTCCTTCTCGAGACCAAAAATCAACCGAAAGGGTAAGGGAGCTGGACTCCAAGCATGAACGACACGAAGATGACTTTCCGCCTTGGTGGGCTAATACCTGTACCTGTATTAGGTAAATTGCGTATAGCGTGTTCATGTTGACTCATGTAGTTTGGTGTGCTAATACCTGTACTTGGATTAGGTAAATTGTCAATAACATTCCTCAACCCTTTTCTACCTGCCGTCCTGCTGTTTGATGTTCTTGAACTTCTTAGAATGGGATTCCATATTCAGTTGAGGTTCTCCTTTTCTGTAGATATTATCCGTGTGTTTGTGAATCCCTTGTATATTGAAATTAACAGCTGGTAACGTATTCAAGTGTTACTTGAATGCGTTATGGATTTTCATTCAAGAAACAGACGGTTCCATCACATTAATGAATATAATTTACAGAAATTCAAATCGAAATAAATTGCCATACTTGACAATTTCCTGTAGTCTTTGCACATTTCCCTAGAAAATACATTGTGGATACATTAATTTTTCCAAAACTAATTGACAATCAAACATTTTACCTGAACATCCAAATGTGTATTCAAAATATTACTATTTTACTTTCCATCTTAAAAATTGATTTATAACTTCATTATAAAAACATTTCCGATATCACGCCAACAGGATGCTCCTGAGTTATTGCTATAATGAACTCCGCAAAAGTATGGGGAAAAGGAATATGAGGAATGCGAAACATATATGCGAATGCCTTCTACAAATTCGAGTATCCATATAATTTTTATTCTAAATTACTTCCTTATTGAGATTCATGGCTTCGAAAAACCTGTATTTTATTGCGTCTCTTCAATGCATTCCCTTTTTACTGGAAAGCATTCCAGAAAAATAAACTCAACCAGAATTAACAACATGCTGTGAAGAACAAGAGTTCAGGCAGCCCAACAAAACAATAGGATATCTATTAAATACAAAATTTATTCAAAACTAGTATTACTGAAAAAATATTGTGACCATAACTTAATAAAAAATGGAAATTTCGAATGAAAATCGAAACATTCATTTTATTTAGCTTTCCTACATTGTTACTTTTGAGAAATACCTATTAAAAAAAGCTGTTTTTCCGTTAACCAGCTATCGCACCCTTAAGAACGATAACCCTCAGAAGTCGAAACTTGTGCGAGCTAAAGGATTAACGAGGTCTTACCTTTTAACGTGTGATTCCTAACACCTGATAGAAAACAATTAGGTAGGTATATGTGTTTCTGTCTAACTTGAAACCAGAACATATTTTTGATAACTCACACGTTACAGGAAAATAATTAATGAGTAACAATGTTATTTCATTTTTGAGTATTTTCGAAACGGTAATTTTTTTTCTAATAATGTTTGATTTGGATTATGCAATCCATATTCTCTATTAGATGATACCACAAGCCAAAACATCTGTATTCATGATTCAATACCAGTTACCGCCTCATCAATCGTCATAGTCCGGGCATGGATACAACGTTTCAACTCATGCATCCTCAACAAGAACAAACCAAAGCAGCCATCGCCCCACGTTAGATGTATGTTTTTGATAACTTGTAATTTTCCTGTTCTTACTTTCCGTAATTACGGATTACCTTCATAAACGGGTCGTTCGAGAGGAGAATTAAAGAACTACTTCATAGATCAGCTCATAATAACTACAGGGTGACTCACTCAAATAGGGTTGTGAAACGGAAATCTTGAAGCGAATTTCCACCAAATGAACTCGCAAAAATGAGTCGGAGTCGCGTGTTTTGTTATAAAATGTTTTCTATCGTTTCCACTAAACGAACGGTTTTCACCATGGTTTCCCAAGACGATATTTTTATGACCTATGTTTTTTTATAATCGAATCTTTTGAGCAAAAGCGAATTCCAAGTAAACCAAGATACTGCATGAGATCATTGTTAAGAAGACGAATTGATTATACACTAGACTCATGAATAATTATTTTTTTTATATTATTCACTTTAAAAATTTTTTTTCCTGGCTTCGATCCGCACAAAAATATCAATTATATCATCATAATCAATTTCTTGAACTAGTTGAGCTTCAGTAGTAAGTAATGTAAGAGCATCAAGTCTATCTTGACCCATACTTGCACGTAAATAAGTTTTTACTCTTTTCAAAGTAGAAAAAGATCTTTCTCCGGGGAACCAGGGAACTACAACGGATCATGAATCAGCTTGAGATTTTTGAAGCTTCCTACTAGCGGCATTAAATCGATATAAAATTACATTCCAAACAATGACTAGAACTGTTGTTCCTAAATGCTGCCACTTTTGCTGCGAACCTACAGCTTCAGATCGTGTAGTCGGTTTCCCATCTCTGCTTTCAGCAATGAATTCCAGTGCATCAATTATTGCAGACCATTCTTTTTCTAACGCGTCACAGGCATCGTGTCGAGCAGACCAACGAGTTTGAGAAGGACTCTTAACCCTATAGATTCAGATTTAGTAATTTTTGAACGCTTTATGGCGATGCTATGGCTTGTCGAATCATTTTTGTGTATGGCTCTTCAGCTTCCTGAAAAAACGTTCCCTCCAAGTGGCAGTCGATGAATATCTCTCGAATACTTTCACCATCAACGATGGTGTTCCCCAGGGATCCATCCCTCTTTTTATTGTGTATCAACGACTTATTGGAGAAAAACAAAAATCCAATATATTGCTTTGCTGACGACAGTACACTTGTCTCATCATTACATTTGGATTCCAGGACATTGGCTGCAGATGCATATCTTCACCGGCAGCAGGAGGTTGCATATCTTAATGAGAATCCAGAAGTTATTTCGAATTGGGGTGAAAGTAACCAGGTACAATTCAATGCCACAAAAACCCAGGCATCGGTTTTCTCCAAAAAGATGAAAGTTTCCGAACCGGATATAATAATGTCAGGTCAGACAATTCCGCTTTCTCCTTTGATTAGTTTGTTGGGGGTTAAAATGGACACCAAAAGGTCTTGGCATAATCGCTAAAATTGCAAAGGCTGCTTCTCAAAGGCTTGGAACACTGTTCACCGCACCAGAAAACTATATACAGCTCAACAAATTTTGATGGTTCATAAAGCTCAGATCAGACCTTTTTTGGAGTATTGTTCCCTTGTATGGAGCTCCGCCTCCAAACATATGCTGAAGCTGCTGGATTCCTCCCAGAGAAGAGTCATTCGCCTGATTGGAGACGCGGACATCACTTGCAACCTTGATAGTCTGAAACATTGAAGAAACGGGAATTGTTCAAGTGACCTGGCACATTCCACCAAGAGCAGTACATATCAGAAATACGGGACGGACTGTGGCTGCTCATCGTTTTGAGGTTCAACTCAGTGCACCTCGCACTCCACTGTTCAAAAATCATTCATTTGGAGAATTGCGTTTATGTGGAATAAACTTCCTGAGATTCAAATCCAATGTGAATCACTACTTTCGCACAGGCACCGCTCTTAGAGAGCCTTAAGGATTTTCTTGCAGTGCTTGTGTCTCGCCCTGAAAAAAATATGATTGATTTCAGTAATGAAACAAATAGTAGAGTAGATCATTCGATGAAGACTATATTTAATTGAAAACTAAATAAAAAAATTGAATTATTTTATATTCTATAGAATTTTTTTATAAAAATCAATTTGAACTAATTTTCAAAGGAGACTACCTTTTCTTTTTTACATCTCTAAAATTTTGGTATTGCAAAAATTTTGTCTTGCCTCAAACTATGCCGCCCTAGGCCCGGGCCTCACGGGCCTAGGCATAAATCCATCACTGCTAGAAATTAATGGAGAGCTGATATCATCGAAATTTATACCAACCATAGATTAACACTTCAAATAAAGGAATAATGTCACATGAAGTCTCTACCAACACAAAATAGTGAAACTTTTTGATATTTTCGCCTACCGATGAAACATTTCGTTGTTGGGAGAAACAATCGCCCGCAATACAAAGTTTTCAAAATGTTTCTTATTTTGACAACGCAAATTATTGTTTTGTCGACATCGACATACCTAGTAGTGTTTTGTTGTGGTTTTGTCCGATTAGTGGAAATCCGTCTTTAGCTGTAGCAATGCAGTAAAGGAACATAAGCTGCTCCTCATGTTTTTTGTCGAATGTGCAGTACTGTGTACTTGCCACACAATCCAAATTATGTCAAGAAGAAGATCTTATGATGTACCTAACATTTCAAAATGTCCCCAAGTTTTATATTCTCATTTCATTACAATTTTACACAAAATTCAAAAATACCGAAGGGAAAAAATTTAATAGTGAGACTTCTTAGGTGAATCGATTGGCAAATTTATGTGTATTTGTAATGAACACTTCGACAGAAATTACTTCACTTGAAAAAAGTTGTGGATAATCATTTTCATGCTTGTATGAGTATCTGTCTAATGTACCATATTTTAGATACCAGAGATAAGAAGTTGATATGACTGAAAAATAGAGTTTTTCGCCACAGAAAATTTTCGAATTTATCAATATTCAAAATGAAAAATTATCTTCAGAATTTCCAGTGAGGTTTGCATAGCCACTTCGCACTAGGAATGGTCTCTTCGAAAAAGTTTGTGTCACTTCTTTGCATGATCTACACATTACGGTGAAGAGTTTATTTCAAAATTATTCGATATCTTCCTTCCTCAGGAAATTTTTCACATTTTTGTCATGAATGAATTGAGTGATTCATCTCAGAATGTGCTGAAGAGGCAATAAGGCAAGTCTCGCACTCCGAAACATCGATGTTCGCCATTTAAGATGACAATGTTCCATGTAAGTGAAATTTCACCTTTCTTATTAGTTAGTGGGCTATGCTTGAAGACTGGCAGTAAACAAATCTGAAGAAATGCACTTTAAACGTTCAAGCCAGTCTCGAATATACCTACACAGTAGGTTGAATGGACTGACGCCTATTAGAAAACAACTACCCCCCTGGTTAATACCACGAAGGGCGTTGGATTATATCCGACAGGCGTCAGTGCAGGAGTCTTCACAGAAAATTTCCTGCATATGTAATTGGCAATACAACTGAAAGAGTGACCTTCAGTTTTGGAACGGGCACACTTGCAGACCGGTTTCGGGCTCATTAGCCACTCATCAGTGCAAGATAGTAGCCATCATCGACCTGAAGTCAATGATATTCCATAATTGACTAATAAGAAAGTTTTTCTTCCTTATTCAGAGGAATCGGGCAAACTACGGATATGCAGTTGGTTAGTACCTCGTCCACTAGATGGAGTGACATTTTGTTGTTCGCTCCAACTAAGGAATAGGAATGAAATACTCTGAAAGAATTTATTATGAAATATCATTGACTTTAGGTCGATGATGGCCACTATCTTGCACTGATGTGTGGCTAATGAGTCCGAAACTGGTCTGCAAGTGTGCCCGTTTCAAAATTGAAGGTCGACTCTTTCAGTTGTATTGACAATTGCATATGCAGGAAATTTTCTGTGAAGATTCCTGCATCGACGCCTGACGGATATAATCCAACACCCTTCGTAGTATTAGCCAGGGGAGTAGTTGTTTTCTGATAGCCGTCAGTCCATTCACCCTACTGTATAGATATATTCGAGACTAGCTTGAACGTTTAAAGTTCATTTCTTTAGAAATTTCACCTCTTTCATTTGATATATTGTGCAGCAATTCTGTGAATGACATCTGATTCAATTCCATAAAGAATATATGGAGTACAAACTGAATGAGATAAAATGTTTTTAGTATAATTCAAGGTTCATATAAAAGTAGTTATTTCGAGAGGGACTTTTCTTTCAGGTTTTTGGCGAAAGTAACTTCTTCGCACGATCTACACATATTTGTTTAAAGTTTATTTTGAAATCAACTGCTCTCCTTCTTTCTTTGGAAGTTTAACACATTTTTTATATAGATATATAGAAGTGCGAAACCAAAACTTTTCTTTTCCAAAAACAATGGTTCATTTGACGTTTTGCATAATCACAATAATTATAAACTTGACTAAAATAGTTTTTTCAAACTATGTCTTTTTCAGGACATCTCTATTTTACACTGAATTATTACAGGTACTTTTGATTTTTTTGTATAAAATTTATCGTCGTATATTTTTTTTTGTGTTGTAAATGTTTATTAGAAACGAAACCATAAAAGTTGGTTAATTTAGATGGAAAAATATATTTTATTGATAACAAATTATTTAGATCCTTTTATCACATCGTGAATATTGTAATTTAGAGAAGCAACTACAGAACAAAAGTACTAGTCAAAACAATCAGAAAAGGTTGAAAAACATTTAGGTGATTCAATATATTCCATTCTAAAACATTTCCCAAGATCAAAAATAAAACAAAATATTGGCAAGAACGTATGTCCTCCCATACATAAAGAAGAAGATAAACAGCACTCAGGAATTTATAGATGCATCGCACTCTACTATAGACGTGTTATAAGATGCCTGCACAATGCTTACGAAATAGACTAAACGGATATATGGAAAACAATAGGGGAATATCAAGTAGTTTTCAGACGTAATCGATCAGTAAGAGACCCGATATTCACTCTCAAAACAATAGGATGCAACAATAGTTATGTTTATTATTAGGATGACCACATTTTATTTCATGGGAAAAACGTTTTCGCAATCATTTGTCCATATTCCAACAAAACATTGAGGGATACTTAAATTCAAAATGAACTATCATGCATAAAAGTTACATTCAGATACAAACTGGTAGAAACAACCCTCCCGAAACAACTACTTTCACATGAACATTGAATCACCTGAAAAAAAAAACTTTCGAAACAATTACTCACTTTGAGATGACAGTACCTTAAGACATTCAATAGTTCAATGGATTCAATTCCAGCCATAGGTATCTTGCTTTGTTCCTTTCTTTGGATGATTTTCACAATTTTTTTATATAAAGACGGAGAAGTGGAAACCAAAAAGCTTTTTTTCCTAAAAACGTCTCTCCTGAAAATATACCCCTTTCAATTCAAATATTATTTTATATTGGGTTTTTTTTTTCTGTCAGCCCTGTACTCTTTTGATTTGACCCATTGGCGGTAATAAAAAATAATTACCTACATGAAGAGCGTGTGGCTATGAAACCAAAAGATCCAGTACAAAATTTGCTAAAACCTGGTTATTGTTATAGATATAATGTAGCGTGTTCTAAAATATTTCTCACTCACGTACAAGAAGTAATTTACACGCGACATCTTGAACACATGAAAAATATAAGCTACCTAAACGAAGTGTCATATCCCAGCTCGAAAATAATGCGCGAAAGAGGTCCTATTTAATTAGGTATTCTGCCAAGAAATATTTGAAACATAAAATGTCAATATTTGGTGATCGATATCCTGAAGGTTCATTACTCATGAAAGTGATTTATTTTGTATATAACAAATTCAATTCTCAAATAAAAGGTGATAAGCCACCGAATTTCTGAACAAGTTCGACCTCTTTCTTTCAAGGATACTCCAGAAATTGTTTATTGTCATTTTATTTTTCAATTCACACAACAATTGCTGGCAGTTCCGTAATCAATCAAACTGAACATTATTCTCCATTAGAGATATAAGAAAATGAATTTTTCAAAATGAAATCTCAACCAATTTACCTTGCATACGTACTTTGTTGGATATAATTCAAAATCCATCGTGGTATTAGCCGGCGAAGTAGTTTTTGTCGGCAGGCATTTACCAGAACATACTGTACATACGTATGTATCTCTCTTTACAGCCTTCAGAGTTATTTTGATTTCTGTTAGAGTGTCAGTACATTAGATGTTTCTTCTCCGAAGGTTTCATGTATGCAGTCAGAGAATGTTCATAATTCGGTGATACAGTTGAACCGCGTTGAAGTCAGTCATGTCCCAGGCACACTACTGTTTGTTTCGGATCTTTCCTGTACTGATGTGAGGTAAAACCTTCAAACCGGTATGTAGGTGAATCTACTCGATTGATATTAGCGTGGTCTCTGTAAGGTATCTTGCATAAATATCTGTAGCATATAATTCAATGTCCATCGTGGTGTTAGTCGGGGAAGTAGTTGTTTTCCGGTAGAAATCTACCGAAATATTTATGTTTCCATTCGTATGCATCTCTCTTCAATACAATCTTCAGACTGTAAGTATTGGTTTCAATAATTCAGTTTCTCACGTCTGGAGATTACGATGTATTGAAGAAAAAATGATTTGAAAAAATGTGACCCGACTGGGATTCGAATCCGGCTCTCTCTAGACGGGTGCATTCACCACTATCGGAGACACCAAGTAGAATAACGGACGAACCAATTCCTCAATCCGGTCCTTCATGGAATTGGTGTGAAGATGATGAAATTTGTTAATTATGATAAACTCAGCAACTAAATTTTATGTTTTCGGAGATTGATTTATTATTTCGTTGTACAATCGCTCCCTTGGAGCATCATCAGGATTCGCAAGCATGATGTTCAGTTATTAAGTTCATCGTAATTAACAACACTACAATTAACAACACTAACCCCACGAATGACTGGA